CAGAGTTAAGTCCTTCAATGAGTTTATCAACAGACCGGTATAATAAACAATCAGTAAATTTCAAGTAAGGTCAATAGAAATTATCCAAACTAAAATATAAAGAGTTCGTGAGAAAAGAGTCATCTGACACCTGAGAGACAATGTCAAGCTGTTTCATATACAAATAACTAAAGTCCCAGAAGGGGAAAAAAAAAAAAAGAGCAGTCTTTGATTTGGTGATACATATCTACCCAAACCCTCCAAAGCAAAACAAACACCAAGCAGGATAAATTCAAAGAAAACCACACGTAGGCACCTCATAGTCAAACTTCTAACAAACAGAGGTCGGGGGTGGGGTAAGGAGAATGGGGAGTAACCACCTACTGGTTATGGGATTTACTCCGGGTTCATGAAAATGTTATCGAACTCTGTAGAGATGATGGATACACTACTGTGAATCTACTAAATACCATCAAATGGTTTACTTTAAAAACATCACTTTTGCTCTATGCATTTCACTTCAACTTTATTATTTTTTATTTTTTTAAAGATTTTATTTGTCAGAGAGAGAGAGAGAGCACGCACAAGCAGAAGAAGCGGCAGGCAGAGGGAGAAGCAGGTTCCCTGATGCAGGACTCGATCCCAGGACCCCAGATCATGACCTGAGCCGAAGGCAGACGCTTAATGACTGAGCCACCCAGGCATCCTCACCTCAACTTTTTTAAATGAGGGAAAAAGCGTGAATATATATTTCTCAAAACAAGGTATAACATGGCCCCCAAACATATAATTTCATTCATAATGAGAAATCCAAATGAGAAGTAGGCCAAGATATGCTTCTCCACCCATTAGATTGGCAAAAGTTCAAAAGCTTGGTAGAACAATGTTTGGCAAGGCTGTGAGTAAACAGGCACTTTCATACATCGCTGGCAAGAAGGCAAAACACTACAACCCTTAGAGGCATATGTGGCAATAACTGGCACAGACCCTAAAGTGGCCCCCACCTACCGGTGTTCATACCTTTTTGTAATCCCCTCCCTTTCATGTGCACAGGGATCTATGACTTGCTTCTAACCAACAGCCACCCCTGTGATAGCATCACATTATCAGACTCCACTGAAAGCCTGCCTGCTCTAAAGACTCTCCTTGCCCACTTGATGAAGTAAGCAACCATTTTGGGAAAGCTCACAAGACAAGGAACTGCAACTGGCCTCTACCAAGGCAGTTAACACAAAGCCAAGGCACTCAGTCCTACAAACACAATAAAATCAATTCTGCCAACATGAGTGAGCTTGGAAGCAGGTATTTCCACAGTCAAGCCTCCAGATGAGAACACAGCCCAGTAGACATCTGGATTGCAACCTTGTAAGATCCTATGCCCAGACTTCTGACCCACAGAAACTGTGAAATAATAAATCTATGCTGTTTTGGGGCGCCTAGGTGGCTCAGTTGGTTAAGCGTCTGCCTTTGGCTGAGGTCATGATCTCCGGGTCCTGGGATCAAGTCCTGCATCAGGCTCCCTGCTCCGCAGGAAGCCTGCTTCTCCTTCTCCCACTCCCTCTGCCTGTGTTCCCTCTCTTACTGTGTCTCTCTCTGTCAAATAAATAAAAAATAAAATCTTAAAAAAAAATAATCTATGCTGTTTTAAGCAGTTAAATGTGTGGTAATCTGTTGCACACAATAGGTTAACTAACACACTTACCACACTACATATGCATTTACCTTTCAGACTCAGCAATCCCATGTCTAAGAATTTACACTAGGGGCGCCTGGGTGGCTCAGTTCGTTAAGCGGCTGCCTTCGGCTCAGGTCATGATCCTGGGGTCCTGGGATCAAGCCCCATGTCCGGCTCCCTACTCAGCAGACAGCCTGCTTCTCCCTCTCCCTCTGCCTTGCCACTCTGCCCACTTATGCTCTCTATCTGTCAAATAAATAAATAAAATCTTAAAAAAAAAATTTACACTAAAGAGATACTTCCCAAGGTACAAAAATACCCATGCATAGTTATTAATTGTAAAATAATTTATAATTGTAAGATACTGCCAACTACTTAAATAACCAAATACAGGAGATTGGTTGAAGTACTCTACAGCTGTAAAAAAGGCTGAGGAGGATCTCCATGCACTGATATGTAGCTATTTCTAAGATATTTTGTTAAGTGAAAAAGACTGCAACATAAAATACACAGGCCGCTACATTTTGTGTATGAAACAAAAGGAGGTAATTTAGAAGAAAAACCCTATATCTGCTTACATAAGAAACAAAAAATAAAAATAAGAAGGATAAACAAGAAATTAATGATACTGATAACCTACATGGTGTGGGGGACTGAGAATGAGGGGTTGAGATGGGCTATCAAAGGAACAGGGAAGGGAATAACACTTTTTCTAAGTATCACAAATTAATAACTGATAGCCCACAAATCAAAAAATATAAATCAACAAGGAAGGGGAGTGGGGGCAAGACAGAACCCTAAAAATTGAAAGCAAACAAAAAAAACCCCCCAATATACACTGAATTTCAAATAAAAAACACAACCACACTGAGGATAGGGGGCTGAAGCAAAGCTAATTTGAGTAACTTGTGAAGAATATTTTTGTGAATACCCTTCTTTTAGGGGAAAAAATAATTGCTAGCAAATCCTAAACTCCTGCTGGTAGTTTGTTTTTCATAGTGGTATGGAGGTAGCAATTCTGAAACCATTATGTGAGTACTGTAGAACTGAGTGAATGAGTAAATGTACTGATGTCAGAAGCCAGGTTCTCACTGTGGAAGAAGGCAGACAGATAGAACAGGGGAAGCCAAGAAGGAAACCTTTGGGGTTGGACTGGAATTGAAGGGATCAGTATGAACGAATGCTTTCTAATGTGTGTGTGTGTGTGTGTGTGTGTGTGTGTGTGTGTGTGCGTGCTTTACTCACTGTAAGGCTCAAAAGCTGTGACATCTTAGTAACAATGAACATGCCTAGTGCCAGATCTTGGTTTCTACATATCATTCCACATTAAAGGCAAGAGGTCCTTGGAAAAAATTCCAATTCTAGGACTAAAGTAGGGAAGATACATGATGGGACTGAAATATCTTATTGTGCCAGAAAATAAGAAAGCGCTCAAGAGGAATTGGGCCATGTGAAAGGACATAGAGGCCAACCTGAGGGGACTCCTGCTGGCTAAATCTGAGGCAACGACAACAAAAAACCAATAGTAATGGATCATAACCCATTGAATAAAACAGGAACCATAAGTCCTTCGGGTAATAGTTTATAGATACAGTAGAATGCTGACTGATAACTGAAAAGTTAGAAAATCACCATTCCATAACCAGCACAGGACAGACCAGTTCATGCAAGAATCATCAACGGCTGACAATTCTAAGGCAGAGAAAGTCTGAGGAGGAGCAAGATATTAACTGTATGGTCTCAAAGTGTCTCTTAAGAAATTAGTTGCAAGAGGAGAGATAGTAACTACACAATGGAGAAACTAAGTGACATTCTGAATGGGTAATCAAATTAAAATTGTCAATGATGGGCTAACAGGGGCGCCTGGGTGGCTCAGTCGGTTAAGCGTCTGCCTTCGGCTCAGGTCATGATCTCAGGGTCCTGGGATCGAGCCCCGCATGGGCTCTCTGCTCAGCTGGGAGGCTGCTTCTCCCTCTCTCTCTGCCTGCCACTCCCCCTGCTTGTGCACTCTCTCTCTTTCCCTCTGACAAATAAATAAATAAAATCTTAAAAAAAAAAAAAAATGATGGGCTAACAGACACCGTTGAATGTGGTATCCTGAGAGGAACAATCAATTACATATCAATTATGTATTATTTTGAAAAGAGGCATGTAATCCAGATCCAATCATAAAGAAACATCAGATAAGCTCAAACTGAGGGAATATTCCATAAAATAACTTCCTTGTATTCTTCAAAAATGCCAATGTCATGAAAGTCAAAGAAAGGCCAAGGAACTGCTCCAGATTAAAGACTAAAATGTTATAATGAAATGTAATATAATATCCAGGGCTGGATTCTAGAATGGACAGAGAAGTGTTTATAAAGAACATTTTCAGGATAATAAAACTTGAATATAGACAGTAGATTAGAAAACAGTGTTCTAGGTTAAATTTTCTCAATCTGATAACTGCACTGTGTTTATGTTAAGAGAATACCCTCGTTCTTAAGAAATGAACTCTGAAGTATTAGGTAAAAAAAAAAATGATATATACAAACTGATCTCTCAAATGGTTTAAATAATAATTGTGCATATATATAGTTTTAGACATAATCATAAAGCAGGGGGAGGAGGGAGGGAAGTACGAATAAGAAATAATAAAATGTAAAATGTTAAGAATTGGTGATTAGGTAGAGTGTATATAGCACTATAAAATGCATGCAACTTATCTTGAAGTTATTTTGAAGTTGCTGAGAGTCTCAAAATAACACGTGCACTGGTATTTTCAAAAATACAGTAATTATACTTGCTGCTAGAGCTTATTTAATGTGATACAGGATACGAAGCATGTTATAGCACAAATCTGCTTTTTAAATATTTTGATAACTATTCTTCAAAATTGGTTTCTTTGCAATCTTATGCATTTTCTTTTATTTATAAGTGTTATTCTGAAAAGTGGACTGCTTGGGCTTTTCATGGCACAAAAAGAATCTCTGCTCTCAGCTATAGATCCCATATATCTACTTACAAGTTTGTCATAATGAGGAAAATGCAAAGTCTGCAGCTTTTTGCGCTGCCATTAGCAAATTATAAAAGAACCCATCATTGATAATGAACAGTCAATCTAACCTTATTAATTTCCAGATGGAGTGATTTCCCGTAACTGCTGGAGCAAAGAGTATTCAAAAATATTAACTGCAACCTCATACAAAGCATCTACGAACACATACAACACCACACACCAACATGTGGAAAAATACAGGCATGCAGCAACTATAAACATGAATCACGACTGTGAAATTTATTACAGAGAAACTTAGTGCTTACGTATCTTAAAGAAACTTGTTAAAAATAAGATACTATTTACCATCTTTCTTTCGGAAAATTTTTTAAAATTTCTTTAATGATTGGTTGGTAGCAGGCTTCCCTCTCTGCTTTCCCAGTCTCACTCCAGTCTCTCACAAACTGTTTCAGTGTAGATTTTAACTTATCCATGTCAAATGTTGATGCTGGCATAATCTTTCCATTCCCCTGTTTAAAAACAGAAATCAATTAGCTTCTGACCAAGGAATCAATCTTGAATAGGGTCAAGGGCACGTGCTACTAAGGGGCTATATGGATGGTTTAGTGGATAAATCACTAGCCTCTCACCTCAACCGGGGTTCAAGTGCAGCTTGAGATCCTACATGAAAAGAGTTTGGTGGTCTCACTTCTACCCTCAATAGATTTAAGGTCCATTAATCATGAAACCACCATATAATTAAGCAGTCTTTACTCAGGAGAGGACCAGAACTGAGCTGCTATGGAGACAGGACATCTTCTCTCTCTAAGAGAGGGAAGAAAGTCCCTCCAGGTCATTGATGGGGCAGCATGGAGAGGCTCACACTGGAGTGGCCCAACTGTATCTATCCTGTGGATACAAAAAGAGGACTTCAGTTTCTATTACTGCCAGTCCCTTGAGATTTATAAGTGAAAATAACTTCTTAAAGTAAAAGATAACTATCAATAGATACAAAATACTGAAAATGAATTTAGCACGAGAAATTAATTTTACACAGCTAGTAAAGTTGGTTATAAAAATTAAAGTCACTAACTCTATATGCTAGAATAGTCAGAACACTACGTGAAATGTACAGCAATATGCCAACAATTATCTTACTATTTTTAGAAAAAAAAAATCTGTCAACAAATCCAGTTTCTGGCATACTATTCTATTAAGCCTAATCAAATACCTGAACATAAAAGTGAAAACATTCTGAGTAGAGCAAATGGCCCATGCAAAATATAAAAATGAAATCCAGAAAGATAAAGACCTCAAAATACAGAGGTTAAACCCTAAAATAAAAATAGAACAAACTTTCACATACATCTTCTCCATATTCTTTATTTTCAAACATATGTATGCAATCATTCACAATGGTCAGTAGTATTTCTTGATTATGATCAATGCATTTCCGAATCTTGTCCAAGTGAAGAAGAAACTGAGGAAGTAGTTTCTGTTGATTATCTGGAAGTGATCGAAATTGTCTTTCTGTTCGGTTCACTCGCTCATGCATACTGGTGCTAAAACATAAAAGGTGTTTTTTAAATTGGCAAAAGAATTCTCACCAGGGCCAATCTTATTTTAAGGTTTTCTTTCTGTACAATTATTCCTTTATAATGTTGGGATACTGTCCTGTGATTTACAATCTTTTGGTTTCTTAAAGGATATTATCTTAGAAAGTTTTATGTTTTCACCTTATTACAAATTCTCTAAGCAACGTAACAAAAGACAAATAGTTTATAACTAGCAAAGTAAATATTTGCACCAATTAGGAGGGAAAAAGGAAACAAAGAGGATTAATGTACAATTAGTTTATTTTTATGATTTTAATTTCCAAACTTAAAATTTTCATCGAACTAGATGAATACTTTAAATTTCTCCATCAAGTAGCAGAATACTGCTCTGAAGTTACTTTAGAATATACAAAATGTGTTTTGAAATTAACTAAGAACCAACCAAGCTGCATTTTTTTAAAAAACACAAAGGATCTTATGTACTACAAAAGCAGTAAACAGAGGAAAAATTGTAATTCTATAGCATTTTACATGATATTATTCACAATTTGCATTCCAGAAGTTGCCAGATAACTCTAAAGGTCACTCTGGAGATTACCTATTTATAAAACCTGAAAAGAAACAAACAAAAAACCCCATCATTTTCAAAAGCTGATTATTACACTTGCAATGAGTGCTATTTTACATCAATCAGATGGACAAAATCTAAAAGCCTGACTATAGGAAATATGGAAAAAATATTAGGAAATACTGAAAAATATGGGATAACTTGAATATATACACTGATTGATGAGAGGTGCATAAATTAGTACAACCACTTTGGAAAATAATTTAGCATTACCCAATAAATCTTAATATGCACACTCCCTAGCAATTACAGTCCTAGACACATACTCAAGAAACTTGCAAATGGGCACCATGAAACATAAACTATCTTCTTATTAGCACTGTTATATATAACAAACAAGAAATCTGCAAACAACCTAGTGGCCCATCACCAGTAAAATGAACAAAGTACAGTATAATCATACAATGGAATGCAATTAAATAAACTACAACTATACACAATATGGATAAAACTCATGAATGTAAATATTTGTTGAAAAAAGCAAGTTGCAGAAAAATACAGAATATACAATTCCATCTTATATAAAAATAGTATCTTACAGGGACTGAACACATGTAAAAAAAAAAAACTACAAAAAAAGGAAAATTCAAGAAAGTGATTTTTTTGAGGAGAAAGGACTCTTTTTTTAAACCAGGTGTTAGGTGCATGGGTAGTCACTGTATCGTTCTTTACATTTTATATATACAAACAAGTGTTTGTGTTTCTTCTCAATGTTCTTTGGCATTTACTCCACACTAAATGAAAACGAAAAACGCTTTTTCATTTGGTTGCTTGAATCTTTCTATTCACCCAAATAATTGTCTCGTTTTTATGCCAAATTACTCTCTAATTTCTGGATAGTAATGAAGAAGTTCTGAAGGAGCTCTTGAGTAAAGCAATAACCTGACCAGGTTTTTAGAAGCTTGTGTGTGGTGGTTGGGGTGGTCAGGGGCGGGGCGGGGGGGGGTAGCAGGGTAACGTGAAAAGATTAAGTTGTCAATGGCTACACTGATGTTTGCTTTTGTCTCCCTAGGGACAGTGTAACAGTGAGATGTGCAGTCAAACAGATCTGGATTGAAATCCAGGTTACGCCGCCTATTTGATATGCGACGCTTGGCAAGTTACTTCCTTTCTCTACGCCCCCACTATCTCACATACAAAACAAGGTAATACATAACTACAGTGGTGATGATGATGATGATGATGATTACAGAAGCTATCACTGAGATTTAATAAAAGCCAGGCCCTACACCATGTCACTGACGTGGATTACTCTGAAACATGTCCATAAAACCCCACAAGGTTAGGTACCATTATATTCCTCTGCCAACCCAATGGGATTTCAATGAAAATGTAACAAAATAATGCACACAAATCACTTAGCTCAGGGCCTGAAACATAACTCAAACATGGTAGGAATACCTAATTTATATAACTAATATGTTCACAGTGAAAATACAAAAAATGTAGAGAAGTAAAAGTACTCCAGCAAAAAAAGCTACTAATAGTCCCTCTTCTAAAGGCAATCACTTCTAACTTTTTGACATATTTCTCCTTGTTGTTGTTGAAGTGCCTCTCCAGTCAAAACGTGATACACAGAACAGCACATCATTTGGAGGTAACTAGAAATGAAGAATCTCACACCCCACCTAAGACCTACTGAAATGTAATCTGCCTTTTAACAAGATCTCAAAATGATTCACATGCACGTCAACTTTTTAGAAGCACTTGTAATTCTTCATCCTCATCAAAGAATTTTCCCAGATTAGAAAAAACTTCTCTAATTTATAGGGCAAATGACTGTGATGACTTTTCATTATGCCATCTATGCACCAAAATTTACTTAGTTATTTCTCAAACACTGGGCATCTAGATACTTTCACTTGTCTATATGATAAACTTTCTGTGTTCTAAATCTGTCTGTATTTTAGGGAAAAAAAATACTACCAACTCCCAAAAGAAGAATTACCAAGTCAGAAAGCATTAAGTACTGGGGTGCCTGGGTGGCTCAGTTGGTTAAACATCTGACTCTTGGTTTCGGTTCAGGTCATGCTCTCATGGGTTGTGGGACTGAGCCCTGAGTGGGCTCAGTGCCCAGTGGGGAGTCTGCTTCTCTCCCTTTCCTCTTCCCCTGCTCCTCCCCTGGCTAGCTCTAAAATAAATAAATCTTAAAAAAAAAAAAAAGGGTATTTAAAGCTTCTTGATACAAACTGATTTTCAGAAGAATTGTATCAATTTACATTCCTATAAAATAGAGTAGGACACTAAAGGAACTATTTAAAGTGACCATAATGTGTTAGGCAAACAGCAGAGTTGTGAAGGGTTACAACTCAGAGTCAACTGGTTAAATAGTCTCACAGTACTTCATTTCTACTATTCTTGGGCACTGGATGCCCCACAACCTCCCTCTCAGCATACCTCAAAATTCAACATATCCAAACTGAACTTAGCACATGATCACCCCCCCCAAAAAAACCTGCACTTCCTCCTATATGGCTGACACTGATGAATGGTATGCCATACATCCATTGAAGTCAGAAACAAATGAGTCATCCTAAAATGCCTCTTCTCACAGACCCCACAACCACAAGCTCCAGATCCTTTTGATTCTACTTCATAAACTCTCTGCAAATCACTACCTCTCCCAGGCCCTCATTAGGTCTCTCAAAGATCCCTAAGAGGCCTGCTCCCTAGGAATGTTGTCCCCAGACGAAGTCTACCACTCCCAATGAATTCTTCTGAAATACATGTCTTGTGTTTGTCCCAATTGAATCTCCAGATTTCAGCCTATGCAAATAACAATCAATAAATGTTCAGTTATATACCCCCTAGGTGCCATTTTTCATTCTCCATGAGGACTACTTAACTTCCATGATTGCCGGGTAGTTGAGGTAAGTTATGGACTGGTCAGAAGAGCCCACACATATCTGTTGTCAATTACTGATACAGAAGTGATGTAACTACACAGAACAGGACGAGTCGCTGCATATCTATTAACCCTTGATTTTTTAATGGTCTGCAAAACTGTCCATAATGTACATCCACAGTTGAGTCTCCCGAAGTAAGTGAGATCTTACTGAAGCTGACACAAGAGTCCAATCTTTACTATTTTAAATGGGGCTAACTTCTCTATTCTGGAAATGCTTACACTACCAATGTACTTTAAGGCAGGGGTGGGCACACTATGACCCCCTGGCTGCTAGGTCTATTTTATAAAGACTTTTATTGGAACATAGCCATATCCATTTGTTCACATACTGCCTATGGTTGCTTCCACACAGGAGCAGAGTTGAATAGTTGTAACGAGACTACCTAGCTCTCTGACCTTAAAATATTAATTGCCTGGCCCTTTAAAGAGTTTCCCAACGCTGCTTTATTTAAAGGAATGTTTTACAACCTTCAGACTCTCCGTGGTTCTGAACTCGGTCAGCAGCAAGAGCTTATCCTCTGGTGACTAAGGGGAGAAAATAGAGTGACCAGCCATATTTCAAGGGTATCTACCTTCAGCTCTCTCCAGAAGGGTGGTCTTGGCAGTGACCCCAACTCTTAGTCTCCTTTCATCAGGGTGGGTCTGATACTGGGTCTGAGCCAAGGACCAAGGTCATAGACCCATTCCTCTGCACCTGTTGAACTACTCTAGTATGCCAAACAGGAAAGCATATCTTTTCAGAAGGAAAATCTGTCTCAATCTACTTAAAAAATTTATTAAAACACAAAGTTAAAACTGTCTTACTAATATCACTATTTACTAATGCACTGAACCATCTTGGATTTCAGGCCAGACTCTACCACAATTTGGTTGTGTAAGCCTGGGCAAGCTGTTCACCTCTTTATATGCCTATTTCTTCACCTGTACAAAAGAACTCTACATCTCAATTTTTTAAATCTTACCTAACTGCTACTTCTAAAAGTAGGATGTTTCTGACAAGACCTTTAATTTTTCAACTGTAGTATCTTCTAATGTGAGTACCTTCATTCATAACAAGATTGGTATTTTAAGGATAACAACGTTTTGTTTTTGTTTTTTACTATTCGCTACAATGCTACAATCATTTTTGCCTTAATCAAAATATTTCATCTAAGCAAAACCCATAGGAAACACAAAATTAGAAGCCACTGGAAAAATATTAAGACATTTCTTGCCCTGTGACCGTTAATCTAAATCCCCTATAAAATGACTAAAAGACATTTAGCAGTGAAACTAAGCTCTTCAAAATTTAGAAGTATTTGCTAAAGATTTACAATAGGATTGTGCATCAGAACTCACTGCAGTGATGGAAAGGCTTACATCTGCATTGTCCAGTATAGCAGACACCAGCCACATGTGGCCACTGAGCACTTCAAATGTGGCTAGTGAGACTGAGGAAATGAACTTTAAATTTTATTAAATTTTAATTAAGTTTAAATTTAGCCAGATGTGATTAGTGACTACGGTATTGAACAGCAGAGGTCTAAATCATAAAATGTCGGAATCGAACAACCCAGTGTGTTTTCTGCTACAAAATGCTTTCCATACCCCTAGTCCTTCCAGTGATGTTTTTAAAAGCATATTTTGAATACTATTTTCAGTCTATTGGAAGCATTTCATCAAGAGTACATGCAAATAAAAAGGATTGGTTTTAAAAAATGAAATTATCCTCAATCCCACATTAAACTGCTAAAGAGGGATTAGGGTATAGGAAACTATATCACAACCATTAGAATATGCACACAAGCACTCTTTTCTACACTGCCACACTCGAGCCCTACTTCCAGGTCAGAGGTCCCTGTCTGCCCACAAAAAGGCCCATTTGATAACTAATCTTAAATATCAATTTTAAATTAGTCTTAATATATTAGAACCAGCACAGACACACATTTTAACTAATTGGGTCCACTACCTTTTCAGGACATAGTCCAGTATCCTTTTCTAGATTTTTCTAGAAAGCACCAGACTTTTCTGTACCTACCTCTCCTATCTAAATCTAGGGTTAGTTGTTTCTCCTCCCTATGTGATTCTTTCATACACAATACTTGCATCAAATTCAATTCTGTGGTTGTCCGCCTTCCTCCCCCTGTTGATACTAAATAAAATCCCCACACTTAGTTAATTCCCTTTTGGGCTCCCTAGGTAATGCAGTCCAGTTCCTATGCCTGGGTTTAATCAGTAGATTATATCATCAAGATCTTTGTACTTAAAAGCTCATGTTACAGAAAGGCCATCAGATTCTAAACAACTTTAGGCTTTTACTAAGCAAGTTTACAAATTCAAAATAGTAACAATCTACCGACTTGTGACAAATTCACATGCTATCTGGGAAGGACAAACGAATTTCTTTGCTACTACTTGTCTTATTTGTTAAAAATAGAGCTTCAACAACATATGCCAAGCACTGGTGACACAAAAATAAATAAGGCTTAGTCTCCGCCCTTGAAGAGGTCACAGTCAAGCAATTAAAAAAAAGTTTGCATAAATCACAGCAGGAGCCCATCTAAGAGAACAGTTTTACTTGTGCAGGTCCTGTCTATCCCATTCCAACTGCAGACTCAGAACATAGCCGTCGGTGGACTCCACTCTTACACAAATAAAAGTGCTCTATTTACCTGAAAATCTACGTCCCTTTCAGATCTTGGAATTATAATTTTGTGACTATGGTATTTTAACATCTATCTAGAAAGAAAAAAAGTGGAAGTTAGGGAGTTTAAAAGTCCTACCACCGTACCCAGCCCATAGTGAAAATTCGATACATATTTGCAGAATAAAAGATCATAAAAGCGATTCTTTACTGTGCCTTCTCTCATTTCCCTCTTTAATAATTAGCAAATTTTAGAACATCCAGACCACCTCCGACCTTAATTTCACCCACCAGTTAAAGACATTGAGCGCCATCATTCACCACTAATGTGCCTGTACGTTCAAAGCGCCAAGGGGGTTGGGGTGGAAATCTTATGCAGCTCTCACAAGAACTGGCAACAGTTTGGGAAAATTCGTCCTACGGCATCCCACGTGTAGGTGAACTTGGGTTCTCCGTGTGTTCAGTTTGGAGGACATCGACAACACATACAGATCATGCCCAGCACTGGACGATTTTACCACCATCATCTTCTATCTGCAATTGTTAACAGCACTTTTCCGGTCACCCCCACCGGCCTCAAAGCCAAACCTTTAACGAGGGATGGAAGGCAAGAGAGCTAATCTGATCCTGAGGTTAGAAGACACGAGGCTGAGCAGCAGACGGCGCGGCAGACACGCGGCTGTGCAGGGCCAGGAGGGGCTAAGGTGGTACGAGGTGACTCAGGGGCCCGGAGATCAGATCTGGCGGCCCGGTTCGGGCGCCCCGGAGGCGTGGCGGCCGAGGGCGAGCGCGGCGGGCGCCCCCGTTCCGGCGGGTCCTACGCGACCGGCGGGCACCTCGATGGGCTGCGCCGGGGTCCGCCACGGGCTTCTTACCCGTAGTAGCGGAAGGCATTAATGATCTTCCAGAAGTGCTCGCGCTCGAGCCGCTCCTCCTCCTCCTCCGTGCTGCGCGCGGCCGTCGCCGCCGCCGAAACCGCCGCGGCCGAGGCCAAACGCCCGGCGGAGAACTGCACTTCCACCTCCTCGCTCCCGCCGCGGCCGCCGCCGCCTCCCCCGCAGCCCTCGGGCAGCTGAGAAGCTGGCGGCGGAGGGCGCCGCCGTCGCTGCATCGCCGCCGCGGCCCTAGGCCTGGCTCGCTTGCGTCTCGCCGCGACTGAGAGCGTGGTGGCGGCTGCTCGGCCTTCCTCTAGACGGCGCCCGCCGCGGACATGCCCCCAGCTCACGGTGCGCTCCGCCCCCGCCGCCCTCAGGCCTCCATCCGCGCCGGGCTCCGCCAGGTCTTCAGGAGCGCCCGGCACGAGCGCGCATGCGCCTGCGAGGGTACGACGGAGGGCCGCCGCCGCCTGCGCTCATTTGCTGCCGGCCTTCGGCGACGGCGCGCTGCCGTAAGGACGACGCGCCCAATGGGCGGGGCGAAGGGTCAGGTGGGAGGAGCGAAGGAGGAGATCCCTCGTGGGGTGGGGCTGGCACCTGCGAGAAGCCGCGTGGGCTGGGTTTGAGAGCCTGCGAGTGCTGGATTGTGGAACAGGCAGTTGAACTAAGTCTAAAGAAGGGAAAAGCAGAAAAAAAGTTCAGCTTTGATGAATTTATTAGGAATTTTTATTTAAGAAAATCTGGAGGGAAGGTCTTGCATTCACCCCGATTTAAGCTTTATTTTCTAAATGTATTTCCATTTTTAATTACATAGGGAGGAGAGTCACCATCATCTTTTCAGTGTTCAGGGGCTTGCGAAAATCCTAATCCCGCCCTAATTGGTGATGGCAGCGGATGAAGAAGATGTTAAAACCAAACTCTATCTAGTATCCGCGCTTTGGAAGACCACCAAAATGCAAAGGAGCCGTAATGCCTCAGCATTGGCGCTAGTTGCATCTAATGGTGGCCCTTAGCAATGCCAAACTTCTTCCTCTTCTTCACCTACCTACACTTTCTGCCTCATTTGTCTCTGAGTTCATAGTTAAAACAGGTGCCTCACCCACATTTATTATTATTCTTAGGAAATAACTCATTTTATTCAATTTTATGTACCACTCTGCATATCAGTCTTACAAAAAAATACTAAAAGATTGCTTTATTCGGAAGAATTAAACATTCCCAGGAAGCAAAGATTCTGTAAAAACATATAATCATTCTGAAAAGGAACTAGCTTCATATTTTCATAATTTAAATTAATAATTTAAAGGCAATGCTTTAAAAAGTCCTGTGGTTATTCTATGTTAATGTTCCATTTTTATACAAGATTTTTATAAAATTTTAAGTCTTTTTTAAAACAGTAATGCAGTAATACATGGTCCAAAATTCAAAAGGAAAGTACAAAAGGTTAAAATGAAGTTTCTTTACCCTTCTCCCTAGCCAGCCTTATCCCCTACACAGACACAAAATATCAATTTCTTGCCCACTCTTCCACATTTTATATCCAGTGCAGATTTTTCTTAGAGACCCCTGTTTGTAAATTATGCATATATTCTCATGTTATTAACTGTTACCAATACTGTTGGTAAATGCACACACCAATACACAAATTATACATATAATAATTTTGATGCACTGATATAGTTCTGGATGACCTAATTGATATAGACCAGAATGCCATGGATAATTATAATCAGCAACATACTTTTTATCATCCTGGGAAGTATAATAAACATTTTTTTTTGAGAGAGAGAGAGAGAAAGAGAGCGGGGGTGGTGGAGAAGAGGCAGGGGGAGAGAAAGAATCCCAAGTAGGCTCCACAATCAGAGCAGAACCTGACTCAGGGCTAGATCTCACGACCCTGAGATCAGGCCCCCAGTCAGATGGTTAAATGAGCCACCCAGGTGCCCCAAAATTTTCAAATTAATTTCTTATGAAGAGGCTTTGTTGGTTCTGTCTCATTAGTTGGTGAGAATCTTAGGGTCCGTGTCATTAAGGTGCTCAACCTTAATCTCAATTATGATTTCACAGATGAGGAAACTAGGGAAACAGCAATTAAGTGATCCACGGGACACAGTACATTACTGGCACTACACTTACCTACCCAAGTCTCCTGCCTGTATTTTACCAGTATTTGGCTATAACACTGACTGAATATTATGCTAACATTTGTTTAACATTTTACATTTTCCGAATTGTTTTTTTCCTATTGTATCACCTTATTTGTTCATGACTCTGAAGGAGGTGTTATTATCATCTTCCTTTAACAAATGAAGACACCGTCTCAGAGAAATTAATAGTCTTGCCACGGGGTACATAAATAGCAGAGCTGACATTTATCTATTCATTCATTCCTTTCAACAAATGTGCTGATTGCCTGCTATGTTTCTGGCACTGAGCTAAAGGCAGCTAGAAGTTGGGTTTTTTATTCTCACTTTGCCATTTGGTAACTGTGACTGTTTCAAATGTTATTTGAGACTTCGATTAGATTATTTAAAAAAAAAGATTTTATTTATTTGAGACAGAGCAAGCACACCACTAGGGGGATGGGCAGTGGGAGAAGGAGAAGCAGACTCCCCACTGAGCAAGGAGCCTGATGTGGGGCTCGATCCCAGGACCCCAAGATCATGACCTGAGCCAAAGTCAGATGCTTAACCCACTGAGCCACCCAGGTGCCCCTTGATTACATTATTTCTAAAATGGACATATAACCCTTCTTACAGGATCATCAGGAGGAATAAACGAGCTAAAGAATGGGAAATGCCTGGTATATCTGCTCATTAAATGTTGGTTTTCTCTCTTCCTTTCAGGTGTCTTAAGGATAAATTTTTGGCCTTGTTTTAAAACACTTTTAGGACGTCCTTGACCTAACTTCTTTGCAATGAGTTTTTCCTATAGAAATCTTCCCAAACCATGGGGTCATTTGGGCTGAAACATTTTCATCAGAAAGAGGTCAATTAATCTCTAGGAATTAATAACCAAAAACCATCATTCTTTCTTCGGTTATTCTGAAAAACTGTTAGTTAAGCAGTTACAGCTCACACACATATATTGCCGATGGAAATGTGAGATGGGACAGCCACGGTGGAAAAAAGTATAGCAGTTTCTTACACCCAGTAATTGCACTCTTGGACATTTATCCCAGAGAAATGAAAAAAATGTGTTCACACAAAAACCTAATTTACATGAAAATTCATGGTCGTTTTATCTGTAAAGCCCAAAAATTAGTAACAACCCAAATGTCCTTTAGCAGATGAATGGTTAAACAAACTGGGGTATATCCATACCATGGGATACTTACTTGATAATAAGAAAGGGAATGATTTATTTTTACACTTAATAACTTAAATGAATCGCAAAAGAATTATGGTTGATGGGGAACAAATTTCAAAGGGTTACAGATACTGTATGATTCCATTTATATATTTTGTCTTGAAATGACAAAATTATAGAGAACAGATTAATGGCTGCCAGAGTTTGGGGGTGGTAGGGAAGAAGGGTTGTGTCTGTGGCTATAAAAGGTAGTACAAGAGAATCTTGTGATGGAACTGTATCTTGACTATGGTGGAAGTCACACAAATCTACGCTTTGATAAAATTGCATAGAAATTAATATACATGGGGGCGCCTGGGTGGCTCAGTCGTTAAGCATCTGCCTTCGGCTCAGGTCATGATCCCAGGATCCTGGGATCGAGCCCCGCATCGGGCTCCCTGCTCTGCAGGAAGCCTGCTTCTCCCTCTCCCACTCCCCCTGCTTGTGTTCCCTTTCTCGCTGTGTCTCTGTCAAATAAATAAATAAAATCTTAAAAAAAAAGAAATTAATATACATGCCATATATACATAAATGAATACATACCAAACTGGTAAATTTGAATAAGATCCATTGATTGTATCAATGGCAACTTCCTGATTGCAATATTGTGCTATAGTTATGTAAGATATTGCCATTGCGGTGAAGGGTATAGGGAATCTGTCTGAATTATTTTTTACAACTGTGTATGAACCTACAATAATCTCAAAACAAAAGGTCTTTATAATGACACATAAACCTGTGACTTTTTTGGGGGGGAAATCACTTTATTCTAATTCACAAATGAGAACCTCACAAAAGGTGATTTAAGGAGGCACACAAATATCTGCCCAACCCCAAATTCAAACCATCTCAATGAACTTCTATACAGTAAGAACAACCTTTTTTATTCCAATTCTGAAGAAAGCTGTATTTAATGATGAAGGAGAAGCTTAACTGGTGGTTTTACACTTTATATATTCACCATTCACCATCAATTATATTTTTATGCTAAATTAACTTGGTTATGAGAGATGATTTTCCTTATCTTCAATTTGAACTTCTTGATTAGGCTAATCCATTTGCAAATCTGCACTGTTTCAGCACCTAACTGAAACCTTCACAAAGCTTCAGGTCACCCTGGTTCTGGGCACACTCCAGAAACTGTTTCATCTCATAGTGGCATGGGCCAAACTGCTGCTGCTCCTGGTACGCTGGCTGGGTTCCCTGAGACTCCTGGTAAGTGATGTCAGGCCTTGAAGGCTCAGCATTGCCTCCTCCACTGAAGCCCCCAGTGATGGCAAGACCTATCATGTGCCCGAAAGCAGAGCCCACAACCACGCCAGCTGCAGTGGTTGCCATCTGGGCCATGAGCCCTGGCTGCCGGGGCGCAGCAGCAGGTGAGCCGACAGCAGCTGGTGGAGCCGCTGCCGGAGGCTGAGCTGCTGGCGCTGGTCTAGGTGCCGCTCTCATCTGAGGTGCCCGGCTGGCCGGAGGGGCCATGCGGGAGGTGCGGCTCCGACTTCCACGCGGCATGGTGACTTGCAGAGCAGCTCAGGGTCTAGAAATCCGAGATTCGGCCGAGACCCCAGCGGCTTCTGCCAAACCTGTGACTTCTACTTTATTCTTATAGATACATTTTTACTTTTCAGCCCAGAAGTTTCTAAGCAAATTACTTTTCTCATTTTAAAAAATTTGAATTACGGGAATTTTCAAACTGAAATAAAAGAGACAATTACATAAGCAATCTATTACATTATTATAATCCTTCACCCCATTTCACTAATTCTCAAGTTTAGTAATCTTATTTTAGCTCACCTCACCTTGTTGATTGTTGCTTCTTCCCCTCTTCTCTTCTTGTTATCATTCGCTTTTTTGCCTTTTTTTTTTTTGAGAAAGCTAAATCTTTTGACCTGCAGAATATTCCATATTTTGGATTTGGCT